TGGCCAATGTTCCTTCTATTTCATCATTGAAAAATTGAATTGTCTATCTCCACTGAAATGGGGCTTGGCAATATTCAACCCCCAAGCTTGTGGCCATGTCTAAGGGGTCTCTTAGGCTTCTGCACTCTCTTCAAAAAGGGTAACTACTTGTCAGGCCCACTATGACACAGACTGGGAAGAGGTATCTGCCAATGTATCAGGTACACACTGACCAAAACTGCCTCTCAGAGCAGACTGGTCTTGGCCACAGTCTCCCACAGCATGAAACTAAATGGGAAAGGAAAGAAATCCTCAGTGGGAAGTCATGGGTAGAGCAATCCAGGCAGGTGAGTCACTCAAAAGATGGATTCTCTAAAGCAAGGGAAAGTGTAGAGTCAGAAAGGCGGCATAAGCCACGGGGATTGGGATGGAGGGGCACAGACCTTCATCTACATCTCTCCTGCCTTCTATAATGAACTTAATCTTTGACTGAAACACACTGTAAAACCAAGATGCAAATAAGGAGGGAAAAGAGGCAGAAGAGACGATTCAACAAAGAAAATATGCAAATGGCCCAAATCTTAAAATATTTAATTTTATAAGTTCGTCATGAAAAAGACACTATTGAAAAAAATTTTTTTTCTCTACTTCTGGGGATTGAATTTAGGGCCTCATGCATATAAAGCAAACACCCTACCATTGAGCTAAGGCCCCAGCCTCAGTATCACTCTGGTTTATGCTAGGCACTGTAGGTCCAACCCCAAATGCTGTTTGCTGTTATTTTTGCAATAGAAGCACAAAGCTGAGGTTCTGAGACTATCAGACACAAAATTGGAACCTCAGTTTTCCTAATGATAACACACCGTTGTAAGTCATGAAACACAGTCTCTTACACATTATATTAAAACAGATAAACAAACAACAACAAAAATGCTTTCAAGAGAAGATCCTGAGTGTTAGTAAGTATACGATGAGACATCCTCCCACCTCAGCAGATGACAGCAGAAACTGCCCCTGGTGGCAGTGCCCAGACACAGTGGATTGTCTCCTAGCACCTGGCCTGTGTGCTTGGGAGCACCGGTTAGCTGGTTTGGGTGTACAGGGAAATTAAAAATCAAATGCAATGGAAGTGTTCTAAGGGCAAGCAGAACAGTCTGGAATACAGTCTCTTCAGGAAATAAGTACACTAGTAATTACTACCTGCAAATTCAATTGTGACTTCCATATTGTGTTTAAAATCTAATCATATAGGCACTTGAAAATGTAGTCATGGTTGCTTTACAGTAATCACTGTACGTGGATGCACAGGACATCACTGACTTGTGCCTTGTTTTGCAAACCTACTCCCTGCTGGAAGTTATTCTGTCTCACATTTACTCTGCTCGCACGTCAGCCAGCCTGCAGGTGGTCCTCCAGGAAAGTGTCCAGGGAAGACCTCAGTTTCAGAAGGCTGCGATACAATTGCACGTGCTTTGAAGAAAGATGTGTTACAAGTCCTACTGTGTGAACCTCAGACCTGCAACCATTCTCCTGCCTCTGCCTGCTGCATGCTGGGGTTACAGCATTACATGCAACATCATGTCCAGTTTATATTATTCTAAATATCAACTTCTTATCAGATATATTTGAAAATTATTTACACTACTCTGCTGGAATGCTTTCATGCATGCTAGATATACACTGCCATCTTTTCTTTTTCGTCCTTGTACTATTATTTAATTCCTTTTGGTGGGCTGGAAGCTCCTTGATGGCAAGAACTAAGCCTTCTTCTTGCTCATGTGAGTCATCTGTAGTGTTTTTGTTTGGTTTTGGACAGGGTCTCATGCAGCCCAGGCTGACCTCAAAGTTGCTTTGTAGCCAAGGATGACTTGAACACCCAATCTTCCTCCCAAGTGCTGGTATTATAGGCATGTGTGACCACTCTTAACTTCTGGAGCTCTTAAAAAGCATCCTGGAAGTTGGGCAGTAGTGGTGCATGCCTTTTATCCTAGCACTTGGGAAGGAGAGACAGGCAGGTCTCTGAGTTCAAGGCCTTCTGGTCTACAGAGCAAGTTCCAGGACAGCCAGCAATACACAGAGAAACACTGTCTTGAAAAACCAAAATTTAAAAACAAATAAATAAATAAATGAACAAACAAACAAATAAATAAATACTTTTTTAAAGGGATCCTGGAAACACCCTACTTCTAAAATCTATAATTCCCACAGCAAAGTCCCTGCTCCAATGGAACAGGGTAAGAGTTTCCAAAGAGCTGTAAGTGAACCCAAAATTCTGATTCTTAAAGGTAAGCAACATAACAATGTGATTTTATTGTTATAAAGAATTAGGAACAAAACACATTACTTAATTAAATACTGGCATTAACAAACAAAAATTGTCTGTTACAAGAGTGCTAAGAACACTAATATAGTATAGTGTACAGTCTGCAAGGAAGAGTGCCTCCCAACACCACCAAACAACACTGCAAGACTCCTGAGTAGTCACCCAGGCTAAGGTCTGGGATTCCTGCCATTCTCAAAAAGGGCGCTGTGTTATTAGTGGAGAAGATATTTGTGCTTTTCCCAGCAAGGCAGAACTTTGTGAACACCTTTCCTATGCCTGGGACTCCCTCCTTTGGAGTCCCAAGTCTCCAAGGTTGGAACTGGAATTCATAGTGCCAACCCACTTCATTCAGGACCCAGCCAAAGAGTATCCGGGGACATCCAGGCCAGACTCCCAAATGAAAGGCAGCACCCCGGAAGAGGACAGATTACTGAGCAGTGACTCTGGGGGCCAGCGGAGTACCATCCGGCTATTTGACCTCCTTTTATGACCTCCTCCTCTGCAAGCTTGCTAGAGTGGGTTAAAAGTTTGCAACTATGACCTTCGCCTGCTCTAAGTCTTGGATGCTATTTATTCTTATTCTTTTAACTTCTATTACTCATAAGATCATTTTTGGAAACTTTTGTTGATAGGTATCTTGAGAATTTACTTTATTACCACTTTATTTTTCTCTTTCCTTTTAATCCTTTATTACCACTCCCACTCCTCCTGGAACCTGGGAGTGAGTGGGCTCAGTAGACCACAAGGATTTGTACTCTAATGCTGTAGGCTGCTGTCTAGATAGTTTGGAAACCACAACTTGGAGTAAATGTTTCCCAGGAATCCAGCTCCCCTCCTCCTTCCTGGGTCCTTCAGTGGAAGCATCTCATGGGCAGAGACTGACCTCTCTGTGTAGAGGCGGGGTGGGAGGCACCCTTGCATCTCTATGGGCAGTTGCTATACCAAGCATTATTGTCCTTGGTCAGAATCCAGCTGAAAACTTCTGAGGCACCAGCATGGATGCTTCGCAGGAGCCCCAGGTGCAGACTGTTCAGAGCTTTCATGGGCTGTGGCTTCTACCTCCGGGGTTGGGAGGAAGGTTTTTCTTGGATCAAATACACACAGCCTGCCCACTCAGGGATCAGTTTAAACAAAACTGAAGATGAAAAGTGATCCCCAGATATCTGGGTGGAACCAATATTGTTTTTTTTTTCTTTAATTGCACAATACCCTATCTAGTCTTCTACTAGCTCAGTATGCAGTGTATCCAGTATGTCACGTGCGCCAAACAAGGATGATGGACACTTAGTCTCAGCAGCTTGCTAGCTGAAGGATGGATGGGCATCATCAGAGACGAACCAAAAAGATGGGGGCTCTAGAAACTTCTATCATCTGAGTGTTTTCTGGAAGCAGATGGGACTCTTTTGGTATGCTATTTGGCAGTACACGGGAAAGTTGTGTACTGTTGTGATCTGGGTTGTTTTGTTGTGCTTAATGTGGGTGCCATGTTTTAATCTATTTCTCAAAGTTTGTGTGTCGGGATTTAAACCATGGCAACAGTGTTGGGGAGTGGGACCTGACAAGAGGTGATGGGGTCACCAGGGGTGTGCCCCGATGTGTAGATGAATGAGTGGGTTAGCTGTTGAGAGAGTAGGCTCACTTACAAAAAACGAGTTTGGCCCTCACTTGCTCAAATGCTCTTTCCCTTTCTTTGCTCTCTGCTTCCTCCCACAGGGTACGACACAAAGTCCCTCTGCAGATGCCAACACCACACTCTTGGACTTCCGGGTCTTCAGTATGATGAGTCAAGTAAATTCCTGTTTGTGATAAATCACTCAGCTTCAGATATTCTCTTACCTAGACTCATCTTAGAAAATAGAGCAAAATAGTAGGCAAAATCACGAGGAAAACATGTTTCTGGAAGTCGCACCCCGGGTTTAAACCACCGGACAGCAGCCCAGAGACATCACACAATGACTAGGCATACAGGACGCAGTCCAGGCTGACTTTCATTAGGCCTCTACTTACATCGTCCCTCCAGCCACACTGTGGCCCCTTTCAAGTCAAGACCTGTCTCCCTGCTTCTGCAAACCTTTTGCAGCTCCAGCCCAGGGTTTTGCAAGTAGTGAGTGTCCATCCAGTCATTTTCGCTGATTCCACTGCTGAGAGAAGAGAAATCTAACAGGACCTTGGACATCATCTCCATGTGCTACTGGAGATACTGAGGCCCCATGACGTGTGTTTGTCATACATCACAGTCAAGGTCAGATTTTGCTTTCTCGGCTTCGTGACTAGCGCTATTAGGAGCTCATGCTATGGTGCCTGCCTGCCTTACACTTTGAAGGATACTGACTTGATGGCTTCTGGAAAAACAACATGGCTGCTATCCCCAGTTTACATAGAGAATAATGGAGCTTTCATTGTAGTGACTGCTTGCCAGAAAACTGCTCATACTCCCACTGGTGACCTTTGCTGGCAGCCTCTGGCTACAGAGACAGTACCAAACACAATAATAAAAACAGTTGCCAATGTCAATTAAGCACCTTCTCTGTATTCATCCTTTACTCGTCCCTCCACAGCACCTGGGACCGAGCGAGCAGTTACGACTCCTCTGCAAATGAGATAAAGATGGCTGCCTCCTGACCCAGTCTAAGCTCAGTGCTGTGTTCAAAGAAACAGCAGCTAAGCAGATAAAAAATTAATTGGAAGCAATCCAAACCTTCACTGCGGTCTCCAGAGAAAATACCGAAGGGGAAGAGCATTCTTAGTGCAAAGCAAAACTTCGCCTCTCCTCTCTGCTATTCTGGGCACCTTGCTCCAGCAGAGCAGCTGCTCCAGCGGCAGAGCGTTGTTCCCAGCATGCTTTGCACAGATACATCTCCTAGCACCTCCACCACCCTCTTCCCCACCTGGCACAATTCACCTCCATCAGATTCTCTCTGCCCTCTCCCCAGGAATTCCAGTGAGTGCTGGTTCCGCTGTCCAGGCCTTTATTCTCTCTGGATAACCCAGTCTACATAGAAACAGAGCAATAATGAAGCAGGCAGGCTGTGCCTGACATTACCTCAGAAAAGAATTACTCAGAAGGCGTCACAGGTAAAGTTATGAATATTCACTAATAGTTTTATTCTCCGTTGTAACTATTTTATGGTGAGAAAACTAGGGCTTACATATAATACAGATACTTACATTGTTACAATAATAGTTGTTATGTGCACATTGCCCTGTACAAATGCTAAGGATGCTTACTTAACTAGCTGATGGTCATATTAGGTAGGTTATAGCCTTCTCATGGACAACAGGTTCAAGGGCACAGATCTAGTAAGAGGGGGGTTTGTCCAGCTTCATGGAGTTAAGGACAGAGTGGACCCTTTGGTCTCTAGTTTCTGCAACTGTCTATGAAACAATTTGCTTGGAGCCTAAACAGAAAGAGAAGAAGCCAGACATTAGCAAGGTGGCTAGAGAGACGGCTTGGTGGGTAAGAGCACTGGCTGCTCTTCCAGAGGGCCTGGGTTCAATCCCAAGCACCTACATGGAGCTTCATAGTTGTCTGCAACTCCAGTTCCTGGGGAGCTGACATCCTCTTCTGGCCTCCTTGGGCAAGTGGTACACTGACATCCACACAGTCAAAACACCTATACATATAGAATAATAAATTGTTTCAATTTAAAAAGTTCAGCAAAGGAAGGAGTCTAGACTTGGATTCCGCCATAGCCATGCTCACGGGGTATCCAGTGACTATTAAAATGTAAGTATTTTCAGGGGATGCAATAGGTCCATAAATAAATTTATTTGCCAAGGAATAGAGTGGAAGAATGCAGTCTTAATCAATAAAAACCCAACTAGGTTTCAAATAACCTTCAAGGAGACTTGGGGTGTTTAAGAGCTATTCAACCGACAGCAGCAGTTGAGTTACATGCTCATCAATTTTATATACAATGTTATTTGCAGCTGTCAAAATTTCTATTTCATAGACATATTTTTGAGCCAGAAACAAGAGTTTGGGGTTGCCCATTAATTTTGCTTTCCTGTCATTCACTGGGTTGTATAGAACTGGACCGGCAACCATGGTTCCTGCCTTGCATAACTAGGGAGACGTATCTCCCTGCCAATGGGGCATTTCCCCACAAAGTCAGAGGGATCCGACTACCGTAGTCCTGGGCAGAGGGCCTGTGTCCAACCCACCCACGCCAAGGGCAGATGAAAACCATGAGCTAGCTCAAGGCCAAGACTTGAGTTGGAGTCTGCCATGGTCCTGCTCTCAACCCTACATCTTCTATGGGAACCTGTGGAATGAGAGTAGTGAACTGAGTGGGGGGGACACACACGACAAAGGACACAGGATTGGAATCTGTCTGAATCTCCAGGTGATGCCTCTGCGCCCTCGGCCTGGCTGGCTTGTTTGTGACAGGGCTTGCTTCATATTCACAGCCCAGGCTGGCCTCAAGTTTTCTATCTTTTCACCTCAGTGTTCTTAACACTATGATTATAGGCATATGTCTCCATGCCCCCTCTTACCTACTTTATATCTGTTTTTATATAATAAAGAGAATATTTATATACTGTACTTATAATATTAATATTTATTTTGTGTAAATTAAATCTAGGTCCCACATTTGAAAGAAAATAAGGAATTTTGTTTTTCTGAGTCTGCCTTATTTCACTTACCATAATGATTTCCAGGTGCATCCATTTTTCTCCATGATTTCATTTTTATGGCTGTATAAAATCCCATTGTGTATACATGTACATTTTCTTTATTCATTCATCTTTTGATAAGCATCTAGGCTGGTTCTGTTTCTTGAGTACTGAAATTAGTATAGGAACAAGCATGTTGTATGTTGCTTTATATGTCTTTGGGTGTATACCCAGAAATGGTATCGATAGGTCATAATGGTGCATCTATTTTTAGTTTTTGAGAAATTCCACACTGATTGCCACATTGGCTGCACAAGATGACATTCCCACTTGCAATGAGTAAGTGATCTTTCACTAGACTCTCATTAGCATATACTGTCTGACTAGGGGGAGATAGAACCTTAAAACTTTAAATTTGCATTTCTCTGATAGCTTCCCAAAGAAGAAATAAAAAATAGCTAATAAAAACTTGAAAAGGGGGCTGGAGAGATGGCTCAGCGGTTAAGAGCACTGGCTGTTCTTCCAGAGGTCCTGAGTTCAATTCCCAGCAACCACGTGGTGGCTCACAACCATCTATAATGAGATCTGGTGCCCTCTTCTGGCCTGCAGAGATACATGCAGACAGAACACTGTATACATAAAAAAACAAATAAAAAAAAACTTGAAAAGGTGTTCAAATTCCTTAGCCATGTATTCAGTTCATTAGCCCATTTATTGTCCAGATGGTGTATCTGTGTTTAATGTTTGCAGTTCTTTATATATACTGGATTGTGGTGATATTTTATCTGTGTACCCCAATAAAACTTATCTGAGGATTGGAGGAAAAAGCCAGCCATTATAGTAAACATAGAAGTCAGGCAATGGTAGCACATGCCTTTAATCCTGCCATTTGGGAGGCAGAGATCCATCCTGATCTCTGTGAGTTCAAGGCCACACTGAGAACAGAGCCAGGCATGTTGGCACACACCTTTAATCCCAGTGCTAGTTAACCATAGAGGTCTAGAGGTCTGTACAGACAGACAGGAAGTGATAGAGCTGGGCAGAAAGAGGAAGTGATGTAGCTGGGCGGAGAGAGGAAGTAAGAGGGCAGGGACAGAAAGGCATATAGGCATGGGAATACAGGAAGTATCTCTCTCTTTGCCTGAGGATTTCCAAGTGGCAAAAACGTGGCTGGCTTCTTTTTGCTTCCCTGGTCTCTCAGCTTTTTACCCCAATATCTGGCTCTGGGTTTTTTATTAACAAGACCGTTTAGCAATTCGTCTTCCACTGGATATAATTCCCTGTCTAACGAGTAGTTGACAACACCCTGCCCCATTCTGTAGGATGTCTCTTTACTCTGGTGATTGTTGGTTTTGCTGTACAGAAGTGTCTTGGTTTCCTATAGTCTCATTTGTCAATCCTCAGGATCATTACATGTAGTATTGGCTTCCTTTTCAGAAAGTCCTTGCCCATACATATATCTTAAAGTCTTTTTCCTTTATTTTCCTCTAGCGATTTCAAAGTTTCAGGTCTTACATTAAGGTCATTGATCCATTGTGAACTGATTTTTGTGCAATGTGAGAGATGGATCTGCCTTTGCTTTCCCAGCACCATTTGCCGACTTTAAAAAATATTTTATGAACTCCCATTCGGTGCCTTGCAAACCATATTCTGCTGAGATCTCCTGAAGAGCTTGTTGATGTGTACATGCTGGTTCCATGGACTGGTGTGAGTGTGCAATAAAGGAAGAGACACTTGTGCCACAGCACTAAGGAGCACAGGTGTGATGCGGTGTCTGGTTTGGAGGGGGCGGGAAGGGGCTCTGCAGACCTCAGCACAACTCAGAGCTCCAGAGTTTGCAAACTTCTGACCGAGCTCCCCCAGCTATAAGGGGGAGCTATAAATAACTACTTATTACCTGCAACTGTCTGTATGGCTCCACGGCTGTCTCTTCTTGCTGGGTTGTATATCCATCTGTAAATGTGCGTGTGCACGGGCATGTGGAGGAGAGAGAGCCATGCCAGGTTTCCCTCTGACACTCTCCACCTTGTGTTTGAGACAAGCTGTCTCACTGAGCCTGGAGCACACCAATTTGGCAAGATTAGCTGGACAGCGAACCTCAGGGATCCTCTTGTCTGTCTCCCCAGTGCTAAGACTACAGACCTGCATCGCCACACCCAGTTTTTTAACATGGTGCTAGGGGTCCAGATTCAGGCCTCACACTTGCACAACAGCTACCTTCCCAACTGAGCCATCTCTCCAGCCTGTTTTTATTGTTTGCTTACTAGACTCTCTATCTATCTATCTATCTATCTATCTATCTATCTATCTATCTATCTCTATATATATCATATATGTGTGTATTTACATAGATTCTCAATATGTAACCTAGACTTGCCAGGAACTCACTCTGTAGCCCACACAGACCTCAAATTCAAGGTAACTCCTTGCCTCAGCCTCCCAAGTGTTCGGATTCCAAGCATGAGCCACATGTCTAGCGACACACCCATTATTAGCACTGTATTGGGTATGTAGAGAACACTGTTCTGGGGAGGGAGGAAAACAGTAGGTGCTCAGCAGGAGTTGGTTGCTTTGCCCTTGTTTATGGAGAGCTGTGCACCGGCCTAGAGATAAACCGTTATCCCTTCCATTTGCCTGGCACTCTCCTCTGGGCCAGCACCGTATGTCTTTTTCCTGTTTGGAGATTTGGAAGCCGAAGTGCAGATAGGCTCACTAAGTCAGATGTAGTCACAAAGCCCACACGGGGCAGAACTGGTGTCGCAGTCAGCGTTCCCGATGAGGCTTTACTAGCCAGATTGAGGCATGCTTCAGCCCACAACTGTCCAAAAGGCCTGGGGTGAGGGAAGCTGGTGGCTGAGCATGGAGAATGGGCAGGAAGCAAACTTCAGATGCAGAAGTGGGGAACAGGCAAGGGCAAGGCTTCAAAGTAGGAATAGCGGTTAAGCCCAAGAGAAGGAATGAGGTTTCATTCCCAAGGTCTTCAAACCCCTGGCAACCAGGACTGGAGCTAAAGTGATGCAGTCTGCATCTTCTCCTGTCAACTCCAGGGCTGAACCACAGCCTTGCTCTGTAAGGATACAGCAGTTGGATCAAGTGATCATTCACATGATTCATTTTGAGGGCAGCAAGTGATTTGAAATTTGGTCTGTGGGATAGATTAGAACCTATGAGAGATTTTCTCTTGGGGGTTGTTCTTCTTTAAAAGAAGGAGCTATGCTCAACACAGAAGAACAACTGGACTACTTCCCTTGGAACATCGCCAGCACACACAAGGCCTCCTATTCTTTGCAGTCAGCAGACGTTTGGTATGGGCGTGAAGCCTGGAGCCTGCCCAGCATACTTACCCACTTGTGTTCTGGAGCATGGAGACCTCAGCCTACAAAGCCAAATATAAAGGCTGCCTTCACCATAGCCCCTTGGAGCATGTGGTTTCTGCAAGTCCCTCTCCTGAGCCAGGG